AGCTTAGCCCAAATATTTTTCAAACTACCATGTTTTTTTTTTTTTTAGTTTTAGTTGCTCGTAAATTATTTTAACTATTAAAGTAAGTATAGAGAATTTTTTTTTTTACTCTCAAAATATCATTATGATCAAGTTTAATTTTATGTTTAGCATAATACGTATCCTGTATTCATATTTATATTTCAGTTTATTTTGAATTGAGGTTGCTGAGATTTTTTTTTTTTTAATTTTTTATTTATCATTAATTTTTGAGAAGCAATAAAAGGGGAATTAATATTTTGTGTAATACACTTCATTCATATGCTCTCTCGTTATACGGACTGAGAATCAGTATCATTTCAAGTACTCTCACGTTATTGACAAACCATTCCACGAACAATGAAATAATCAATCACTTCGACCGTATATCGGTGACTTACTCTTCACTTCAAACAAGCATTTTGAAACATATTATATATGCTTACGCACCATCTAGTCTCATCGCCCTGTTAGGAGATGGACTTCGTGTCAACGTGCTGATGTTTATTGTAAAGAACTGGGGAAGCGTAAGACCATTTCACATTATCTATACAATAAATACGTTTGGTATCAAAGTGGTTTACGGTAAAGAAATAGCCTGTAACATGTTACTTCTAACGCGCAGACAGTTCAATTTGGAATCTTGTTATTCAGAAACTAGCACTAAGTATTTCGGAATAGTAAATAATTTTTCACAACGTTATTGAATTTTTAAATCATATACACAAAAAAAAGTTTTAACTTTAAATGTAAAAAAAAAAACTCAATACTTATTCAACACATAAATTTCACCGGGATTAGTTAAAACATATTTTTCATTCAATTCAATTTACAATTAATATTTTTAAAACCGTGCAATAAGCATTTTACTTTGTCATAGAATGTATAATACTCATTATTATGTAAACACAATACAATGATATGACATTAATAAGAAAAATTAAATCGACGTTTATAATATATGAACATTAAAATTTGTAAATTTCAATTTACCAACGAAGTTACAGAATACGTAGGTATCTATGTGTATTTATTATATGATCAAAAGGTACAACGAATAAACATTTATGGTGCTGATTTAAGATGACTTCCAACTTTGCTTTAAAATAAATAACATCCATGTTTGCTTTGATTTTGGAAATTACAATTTAGTTTTACAAATGTACATTTACTAAAATCAATATATTATTCTAAACATTTTACACTAATATAAAAATATTACTTGATATTTTAGATTTCGTAAAAAGACAAATAAATTTACTTGCATACCAAACTTATAATCAAGTATTAATAGAAATATATAATTAATACTCGTAAATTTATTTTAATAAATATGTCTAAGAATTATAATAGCCTGATTAATTACCCTGATCATTTCATTCATTATTATTATTAAACTTGATAAAATCAATAATATAAACTATTACTTGATCACAAAATATTTGCATTTAAATTTATCAATTGAATGGATACGCAGCAATTAACTATTTTAAATGCAAATCAAAATAATCTATTGTGATAGGAAATTAATATTCTTGAGGCGTTTAGGCGTTTTCCAGCAGCTAATTTCTTAGTGAATACGGTAAAGAAAATAAATTAATGCGTATTTCAAACATCGTTATATATATTTATGTATAGATAAATGAACAAAAAAATATTCTCATAATATTTAATATCAAAATACAATAACATTAATTAGAAAAAACATAGTTTAAATGCAATGGTTATAAATATGATATTGCGTATAAATTAAAATATTACATAACACGAGTTAAGTTACACATATGACAAAACATAATTAAATATATGTTTTAAATTTAAATAATTTAATTATGAATAATATCCAATATTATAATGTATAAACCTAACTGATAGGGTATTTAATTTTAGCATTCACTAAATGAATTAATCTTATAAAATATTTTGTACACAGACTATAGAAAATAATTAGTTCAGTAATATATTATATATTTTACATTTCAAGTAAATAAGGAAATCAATATTTCATGCAATTTCAAAATAAATACAAATCAAATTCCCTGGGTAAAAAATTCAAAAAAAATAAACTCAACCCAAATCCGGTGGTGATATACGATACTAAATTAAGCTAAATTTTTATACCACATTAATATTTTATTACTACTCCAATGTATGTTTTATAGACAATGATACATTGTAGTAAAATACACGATGAAGTATGAACCATACATAAACATAACATCAAAAATATATTATATCATAATAAGTTTAGTGGAAATGTAAATATATTTAGAGGATTTTCATATCATAACATTAATATTAAATATCTATAATAATAAAATTATATTATGTTATGTGCTTAGTTTAATTAAAGTTTTCAAAGAATTGTAATTTACATAAACTATGTACTTTTTTAAAGTGATAAAGAACTGAAATCAAAAAAAAAAAAATCAGTAAATCCATAATTCATATTTTTTCGAACTAATATTCTCGTTGTTAGGAATTTTAATACCAAAGCTTATTTTACGTTTACCATTTCTATTTTCCCAAATCTAAGTTTTTTTTTTCAGTTTTTATGTTTTCTCTGAGTTATTTTGACCTTTATATCTCGCTCGATTAGCACTGGCAATAAATAAAAAAATATTGCGTTGTAAATCACATTTAACATAATATCGACAATATTGTTGTGGCAACTGAAAAACATAGAACGATACTACGATAATGATTTATAGTATTACACACAACGTTCCTGCAGTATAAGAAATTTTATCTTTATTTTTTTTTCATGAGATTACTACCAAAACGTGGCTATATTACAGAAATTCTGAATTTACTTTACCTATTCTTCAGTAGACATTGTATCCAATTATTCGTCCCCTTTTACTGCAGAATTCCCCAAATTATTATTGCCTAAATGAGGATTTTTTTTTTTTTTTAATATAAATTGTGTATTAAACAAACTGCCTTCATAAAAATAAAAAAAAAAAAAACTATTTCGTTAAAAACGAATAATAAAGTTGGCCATTGTGTGAAGAATAGTTTTCTTTCTCTCAGACATTTAAGAACGTCGTATAGCCAGCGTACATCTTCGTAGTTCCGCTCAAGATGTATAAAACCCAAACAAAAACTGAACGCGGAATACATTTTTCATAAACTATAACATCATTTTTTTCTGTTATATTTTTATGATATTTCAATTGTTTGAAATTAATATAATTATTTTGGAATATTTATAACAAACGATAATAATAATTCAAGAAATATTTAATAATATAATTTTATTACAAAAAAACTACCATAAAAATTAAAACTAAAACCCCTAAATTAAAATGTATATATGTGTGTAGTGTGTACAATGATAGCAATATATAATTTAAGTAAAAACCTACATTTTAAATAATTATCAAAAATATTATATGTCGTAAAGTTTTGATAAACTATAATTCTTATGTAATATTTGATTAATATGAAAAACTAACAAATGTGTCAATATATTGACTTTCCTTACATATATAATATTCTAATCAGAAAAATATATTTAATTTCAAAAAAAAACATAGACAGATTAGTATAAAAGAATGGCTTTCAAATTTAATTTAATAGTTTAATTTTCTTTTTTCTAATATTACATTCGTTATTTCTTTTTATAAATTTTCATGCTATAATAAAATACCCAATAGAGTATAATATTTGCATGTTTCGCTACAACTTTTGAGACGTGATAGTAATTAATATTTAAATACAATAGTATTTTTATAGCATGCAAAGAGAAGACTATAATCTTGTATTAGACTTGAACCACGATGTTGTCACAAAGTTTTCATAGACTTTTTATCACAAGATTTAAATTTATCTTTGTTCCAGAGTACCTACTATTATGTACAATATTTTGATCATAAAAACATCCTTGTAATAGAATAATTTATTAAGGTACATTATTGTACGTTGCTGTAACTTAAAAGATATTTTCATTCTTATCATTTTTATTATAACTAAAGATAAACCTTCGACATTTTTAATTTTTAGTGCTTTTTTAAACTAAAATTTATAATGTTTACTTATATAATATTTATTACCTCATAGTAATCTAAAAAAAAAAAAAAATTGAATACAAGAAATTATTCGATTTAAAATTACACTTTAATTTTGTTCATAAAATTTATCTATGAAAGATTTAAGTTTACATTTATCTATTTTTCTTATTCAACTTAAAGGTACTTATTTTAATATTCTTTTATAAATAAAAATAAAAATAAATATCTTTGAAGCAGGCAGTAATATTTTTTAGAATTTAAGATTATCGATTATTATATGTGTATATATACTATATATATATATATATAGGTATAGGTATTTTTTATTAAACTTGTCATTAATTTTCTTTCTTGAGCCAATATTATGGTATTTAAATTTTCATTACAATAAATTAATTCTAAATATATACTCAACATAAAAAAAAATAATTACCTACCTCATTATTTCAAGTACTTTACTAAATTATTAAAAAACAAAAATTAATATATTGATTTAAATTACCAATTAAAGTGTATATTTTTATTTATTATTAAACATCTCAATTAAATTATTTATCTTTTATAATATAATTGTTACCTATTGAATTGTTTTTAAATCATCCATTATATTATATAATACGTTATTATTAGCATTTTTTCATATTATTTAATATTATTAACAATATTAAAAATTCATGTAAACGTGTATTTTTTTTTGATTACATGTAAAAACCAGGTATTCGGTGTATAATATTTTTATATTATATTTTCAGATATATTAATTAATTTAGAGTGTTTATTACTGAAGTTTAAGCCATGGCATGCAATTAATGTATTTTATATCGTGCAAACATATCATAATATTCAATTAATAATGCAGTATTGCTGGATAATATTATTTACCTACTAATGTAAAGGAAAAGAGAACAGTACGCGTGGACTGGACGAGGTCTTGTCGTTTTTACTTGTTAATTGATTTGAAAAACTCACCGTAAGAATATAGGTGATTATGTTTCGGTCGAGAAAACGGGGGAGAGGAAATCGTATAATCGTTCTCAAAGTCCCGTCTCCGACGTGTACGTGTAACAATACGGCAATAATAATAATGATAATATAACATTAACAGTATAATATTATTATCACGTCTGTTGCCAACGTTAGCGAACAAGCGCGTGTGGGGGGGGGGGGGTTGATGAAAAAAAAAAAAAAAAAAAGAAAGAAATTCCGACGCGGAAAACTCGAAACCGTAGCGGCGGCGGCGTCGTCGTCGTCGTCGGCCTATAACAACACCCAACGTGATCACGGCGAACCGTCGCGACGTACACTGAGCGCGTCCCCGTGACAGCGTGCGCTGATATAGGGCCCTTCGCACGCACACACACACAAAGGCACACGCACGCACACACACACACACACACACACACACACACACACCTTGTCGATGACGACTACTACGACGACGACGACGACGACGACAACGACGGCGACGGCGACGACGATGACTGCGGAGGAGCGTAATCGTTTTTTCCCTGCTTTGCTCCGGCACAGACGGCCCCTATTTTTCCTCCGTCCGTCCGTCCGCACGTCCGTCTTCTCCGCGCGGCGGCTATTTAAAACTGACAATGCGTCGGGCCGGATGTTCCTGTGCATTGTGTTTGTTTGTGCATCAGCGATATATTCGCACACTGGCCGCGTCGTCCGTCCGTGTAAACCGACTCGACACAACGGTTAAATTGAACGCGACGCGTTTCACCGAAACGTTTAAAAAACCGTGAAATTCTCGAATCGGGACGGCTATCGCGTGTTAATAATGTTATGTCACAGTCGTAAAATAATTATTAAAGTGTATGCAATACAACTTTACGTGCTGATGTAGCTCTTTGGATGTATGGGAGAGGGTGGGGGAGAGACATCAACCGTGGTTTGCGAGGGAGCCGCAGTATTCCCCCGTTGCCGCCGAAAAACAGCAACAGTTCGCGACGGAGGAATATTAATTTTATGAATAATGGCTTGTTTGGGAAATGTACAGTACTCGCCCAAAGCATAAAAGTCGACAAAGTGTACGTATAATGTCTGCAGCGAATATTAACAGTAAAACGTTATACTCTTCGCGGTTAAGCTCGTGTTTTTTCTGCCGTATTCCACGATTTATTAATAAAACCACTACCTACGAAATCCAAAAACATACCGCAAAAATCTCAAATATTTTTGCACGGGACTCCAGATAATACAATATTGCAATTTATAATCTATGAAATTCCGATGGTAAGGTACAAGTTGCGAGAAACCCTATACCTAGGTTATATTTGGGTTTTTTTTTTTAAATACTATACAATTCCTCGTTATGAATAAATTATATCGTGTACATAATATTGTGCGCAAACATTTTAATGGGAGAAACCAAAAATTATATATACCGTAATGTACCTAAACATATGAACTGCGTGTCACTGAAAATATACACATACAATAAGCATACGTGATCAAAACTTCTGGTTTTAGGACTAAAAAAGTTAGGATAAATTAATCATGTGTCAGGTTTAAATACTTCAAACACAAACAATATCCATACATATACGATCATAGTCATGGATTTTTGATTTTGATTTTATTATTTTTATGGACTCGTTAAGTTAATTTAAATTATATTTATCTCTTGTCGATAAAAACGTTTAAAAAAAATTAAAAGAGATCCAGTTGCTTTTTAAATTTTTATTAAGTTTTACAGCATACGAAATAATATGATACATTTTTCATATTTAAGCATTAACACAAAGTATAATTGACAGCGACGACAAAGCAAAATATTACGTCAACTACTTCATAATAATATAATGATAATTATTAAGCCGGCTTTTTAAAATAGCCCTCATCATACTTAACAATATCAATCAAAAACAGACACTTTAATTTAACTTGAATAAATTTTTATTTGATAAGAATTTCTAGCTAGAGTACTATTTCCAATTACTTTTTCACGTTTTAACATTTAAAATAAAACAATTATAATAATTTTCATCTGAAAAAATCAATTTTATATTTTTTAATATACATAATATATATGAAATTTCATTATTTAATTTAAATTAACGTAGGTAATATACACAAACTACACACTTCTACTTTATGGAAAAATCTAGACCAAGATAACAAGGTGAGGGAGAAATAATTTTTTTAAAGGTACACATGATGATATAAATAAAATTAAAAATATTAATTTTAATATAGTTAGTCCTTTTTTAAGTATTTATTTAAGGTATATATACATATATTACTTTTAAAAGTCTCGTAAAGGACGAAAAAATATAATATTTTATATAATAATTTGTGCTCTATAAACACAATGATTGCTAATGTAATAGATAATGTCTTTAAAAATACTGTGCTACGTGGATACAATATAACTTTACAATATTTGGGAGTATCAAATGCTATATCAGGGTATTCACTTGACTTCATTTTATCATTGTTAACCCAAAACTTATACCATAATTCGATTTCTCCTTTTAATTAAGCTTCAATTATTTTTTTTAGAAAGTGATAAATCTTTAGACAGAAAATCCCCAAATTTTTCCATTGCATTTTTTTATTTAATTAGTAATAACACATTTATCCAAGGACAATAATTCAGGACATTAATTAAAAACAAATTCAAATACAAAATTTTAATTATTCTATCATCAAAACTATTAGTTAAATAATTTAATATACCATCGATTAATGGGATGACTACTGAGATTTGATAATAACTGGATCATTAATATTTGGATTTGATCTTTTTGACATTTTAGTACATAGTCACGGTAAGTATACAAATATATACGAGTATATAACTTTTTAAAGGTGTTTCTACACATATCTAATATTTCAGAAAATGAATCATTACTCTCCTCACGGCTGAAGTTTTACTTTAAATCTTGACAACACATTTCTTATGATGTTAGTTGCAGAAAGTTTATCTTGCTTTTTTAACTGTAATAAGCGACTAATTGATGAAATTATTGAAAATATATTAAAAATAACATGCAAAGCTACCATAAATTCGCAGCATGTCATCGATTTTGAAAAATAGTAAATTTTTGAAGATGTCGTTGTATCAGATGATTTAAAAACACCATCTAAATATAGGAATTACACACAACAAACCACTTACACATATATAATATACAAAGATAATTTTTTTTTATTTAATATTTAATCCCTCTAAAATCTCATCAATAATACTATTAATAACATGCCAATATGTTTAAACATACATTGCATAGTTGTGACTCTGCTATTAACTTACACCTACATATTATAACGTTATATAACTATATTCCTTAGTTACATAATATATGTATGTATATTATGATTCATGATATACTACAGTATGTGGAACAAGGTCATAATATCGTATAAATTAGTTAATTTTAACTTTAAGATACAATTTACAACATTATGGATAGTTTTAGTTATGTCAGTATTACAGATTTAATAAAATATTCTAATTACTTAATTATAACGAGAAATGTTTAGAATATTAAACGTATATACTCTGTACATCTTATTTTTAAACTATTATTACCTATTGTTAATTTCTTTGTATATTTTAGAATAAAATTTCTAAATTAAAATATATTTTAATAAAATCAAAATATTTCAAAACAATTCACCTTAAAAAAACAATGTTTTAAATTTTTTATAAAATGCAATAGACATAATACAGTAATTTGCATAATATATCTATTAATAATTACAATTGTATTATAAAAAATTAAAGTGAATACATTGATAAATATTTTATTAGTTTGATCGACCCAATAGTATATGAAATGTTTAAATATAGGTACTCGTACTATAAAAATTATAGATATCTTTAAATAATTTTTAAAATAACACTTTAAAGCATATAATAGGTAATATTTGAATAAAGTTTAACTTATTAATTCAAGCGTATTAGTGATCATTATATTTTTATTTTATAATTCCATCTGAAAATAAAGAGTGTATTAAAATTATCAAAATATAGAAAAACAAAATTGTAATCGTTTAAGATACTTAAATTAAGTGTTATATTTATGAAATTAAAATATCAAGTTATGTGTGTTTGTGTTATTCTATAAAGTTTATTGTAAATAATATTATTCAATAATACTTAATATTATCAAGATATAACACTATAACTTTTAGTATTAAAAAAAAAACCCCATTAAAACTTCGCGTTTAATATAAATTCAAAAGTGTTAAAAAAAATCAGAAAATTTAACTTTATTTCTTCAAAAACTTCATCATGTTTGACAAAGAGATCAACATTATTTGACTTATTATATCAGTTATATTTTTTTTTCTGTTGTATTTTATTAAATGAATAATTGACACATCAAATTTAAATAACGCACAATGAATTCAAACAATTTGTTTTTAACTTTTTAACCACAGAAAATTTTTATTTGAACCTTTAAATTAATTATCACATATATTTTATCATTTTTACTAATTTACTCCGTTTTTTTTTTTTTTTTGTTATTAAAAAAATTCTCTATTTCGTTTTTATAATTTAAAAATTATTTTATAAATTAATATTAAAATATTACTGGTTGATGTATATAGAAAATACGTTGATTATGAATATCCATAATCTACTCCGCGCTCGTTAGTATTCCAAAAACTATAATTATCATAGTCATTACTAGTTTAATTAAAATTTAATAATTATTAGTTTCATTTTTTAAGGTACTTAGTATAGGAACGTCAGGTTCTGCGAAGTTATGGTAGTCAAATTTTTGTATTTCCCCTCAAGTTGTAATTTAACTTAAATTACAATACGATATAATACCTATACTATACAATAATTTATAATATATAAATATATCACTATAATATTCTACATACCGGTATATTTAAACTAAATTTTACCTAAAATAATATACTTCCTATAAAAATTTAACAAAATAAATAACTAAGGTTGACCAAACTATATTTAACAGTGCATGATGGTTATACCAAAAACAAAACATAACTATTATTTAGATTAGGCAGATAATATTAAGTTCATAATAAAAGTCCTATAACTTATTTTAAAAATATAATTTAATATTAACTCTGTAATAATAATTTATAAAATAATATTATCGATTTTTTTTCATACACAGGTAATGCAATAACACTAACAGTACATCAACATATTATTATATAACAAAAGAAACATGAAATAAATATACTTATATATATATATATAAACAATAATTTAAGGAAAATTATTTTTATCTTGTGAATGTTTATATTGCGTTCTATTTTTATTTTAAAAGGTTTAAAGAATTCTACTGGCACATCTGGAGATAG